TGATAAAGCTACACCTAGTTCACTAATATACGAGTTATTACCAAATACGAAAAATATTCCAACTTTATTTTATATTGGAAAATTCTGAGCTGTTTCTTCCGTCACGGGTAGGACAAAGAAAAGACACTGCTTTTTGGAGAACATATATTTTAAGGAAAGTCTGTGAATTTACTTAACATTTCTATCTGGATTAGATGTTTTACTATACAGAAAAGAACCAGCAATCCCAACAAAGCACAAACCATAATAAGAATTATTTGTTTATTATTAAAAAATTCAAAATTCTCCTGTCACGGGTGGGACAACTTTTGTCACGGGTGGGACACGTACGATTTTCATCATGAAAGGAAGCTTCTAGTGTGATCCATATCAAAGAGATTAGGTATGATAAATGTTAGAGGTCAAATACAAGATCAATTGACCTACTTTTATGACAGTGGAGTCATTGTAAGACGCACGATATACTGCTGACCCCAGGATCTATTTTAGGGGCAATAGTTATACCAAACGAAAGCTAGAAGTCGCCAGATTGATGTATTAAAACGCATGGAAGAAAGGATTATTTGCAAACGCATGAAATTTTATATGCATTTTCCTAATGCACTTCTGCACGGTGCATTTGATTGCAACGAAATTTCGAATGTGCCTTAATGATTTTCAAGTTTGTTTAGAATAGCTATGTATGTCTGACTAATACTAACTACAGGCTAAACATGTATATCGACTACTGTTATCACGTCGATAGCGATGTCTAACCTGCTGTTAGTGTTGACCAGACATTGAGTAACCGGCTTAAGAGTGGCTCGAGTTGAGTTATTTTTGGAAACTGATTTCATGGACAAATCATGCTCAATTTTAGCTATTCCTTAGAACCATAGAACGTCAGAAAAGATCTTGTGTATCGATGTCTAATCCGAAAAGTTATCTGCATTAGAATACTTGTAAGCAGATACATACATATGTATATCTTTGTCACTTAAAGGCTATTTATTGGATTGAATTTATAAGTTTCGCGAACTTCTAGATTTTCTTGGTTGGAACTTTTCAGGTAATTGTTAATATTGACTTTTGGATTGTTGTTAAGCAACCCTCATCATAGAATTCTCTGGCGTCTCTAAGATAGTAATGCTTATCTTGACTTTTCGAGCTGGCCACGCGAAATTTTTTACTACATCGCTTAGCCCACCAACAGTATTATGGTGTTTAGTCAACCTGAACTTCAGAGTTTTGTGGCATTAAACATAGGTTTGAAACGTTAAACTTATTTTTTTTATTGTTAGGCACCATTAGAAAAAAATTATAAATGATTGTCACGGGCGGGACACGATAAAACGTTTCAAAATCGCTTAAGTAGGTACTTATAATATAATAAAAGAAATGAAATAGGGCTGCTTAGTATAAACACACTCTAGTTATGAAATTATAGAAAACTCCCTAAAGTAGTAACTAAGCAATACGAAGTTTAAAACTTTTTAGTCACGGGTTGGACATGCTAAACCGTAGTGATTTTATCCTATTATATAATTTAAATGCCTATTTTTCTTCAATGCCATATTGCTTCTTCGGGGCGCAGAAAGATCGAGACATTTATTCCCCCCTTCAAAAAAATAATAACTTTGTGAATACTTGATTTTGCAGAGCCTTCTATATTAAAATATGTTGTCGTATTCAACTACTTTTCTAATGTTGAAGTTTTGAGTGTATTTACAGTGTAATAAAATAATATAACTAAATTTTTTTTCGAAAAATCGTTAATTTCAGGTATTGAGCATTGATTCATCAAGCATTCCATGTTCAATAAGCTACTCTACAATTGGACACAAAGTTTCACTTACTCATGGAATACCCCAGAAGTAAAATATTTATTTTTTTTTAGTTAAATTTTATTTAAGCATAGTATACCATTCTCAAAAAAAGCAAAGAAAAATAGAAAAGTAATTTCATGATAAAAAATATAGGAAGGTAGAACCGCTGAGAGGAATTTTTCAAATTCTCGACGTTTGCAAGCAATTTAATTTAAAATTCTACACAAACTCAAACACACATTCTCATTCTCAATCTCAAACAACAACAACTTTGAACAATTCCTGTTTTTTACTCTCAATTTTATATGATTTAAAATGTTGGCAAACTTCAAAAAAAAAAATCCGACGAATTGAGAGAACGGTTTTACCTTACTATGTTTTTTTCATGAGTTATTTTCTCTAAAAAACAGCTTCTCAAAAAAATACAATCGCCGTTCGGAGTCGGCGTAAAACGCGCCAATCTATTATTATTAATTTTCTCCGCTAAATTTTTATTAAATAAGTTTACAACTCTAAAGAAAAAAAAGCTCGTATTTTTATTTCTTCAAGCAAATTTGCCGCAAACGATTTATTCAGGTACTGTGCCTTTCCGGTAAATTTTCTTGAAGAAATAAATATATGTATGTACGAACATTTTGTTCTTGAGAGCCGTAAACTGATTTAAGAAATCCTGAAGAAAGAAAATTTCATTTCTATTTCTTGAACGTCATTTTATAAGAATTTTTCGTTTTTTTTTGAGAACTGCACATGTATTATGCTTTACATAGGAAACGCTTTGAGAACTGTTCTAAAGTTACTAAAAAATCTCGTATTTTTTTAAATAGGGCCTTAATTTTTAGCATAATGGTGTATTTGAGAGTCAAGTAATGGAATTTATAAAATAGGGTATTTTACATTGATTATAACAGAAGGATGCAAATATCGCTAGCTTAAGAGAGAAAAGTTGGCAAAAATGACAAATGACAAAGTCGAGCATTAAAAAAAAAATAATCGTATCATTACATTAAAAAAATAGTCATTAAATTCATTTCCCATGGCACTTTTTTTAAATTGCATAGATTTATTGGCATTTCAATGCCTATTGGAAATTCGGCATAAGTTTTCATAAAAAATTTACTTTTTGATGAATGCAGCAAGGAAACTAAAAACTGCATCCTTTCCAAATAGAATAAACAAATATGCAAACAAATTATATTATCTTTAAATCCTACCGAATCGGATGTAGTTTTATTTTACTTTAAGTACGTAGACATGATGGGAGTTGGGGAAGTATTTTAATTATCTCCTTCAATTTGAAAAATTGGATTTAGCGAATTTTCGGTCTAAGCTAGAGACATACATAGAATATGTATGTATGACAAAAATATTTATGTATGTCCCCATAGGTAATTTGAATTTTAAAATACAAAATTACCCGTCTTTGGATCGATTGTTGTGATTGTTATTTTTTGTTCCCACCTTAGTTAAATCTAATACTGAGTGCACCAATTAAACTAAAACAAACCATCTATTTGGGAAATCTGCAGGGTACTTAATTAGGCAAAAATCTTATTAATCGTTATCAATAAAAGGTCAGATCCAATACTTTCACTTCAGAGAGTAATTTTGCTGTTTGACATTTTTACACGATTTTGCACGAAAAGCATTCGATCAGAGCTACTTTTCGTGTAAAATGCTGTCCTCTGAAGTGAGAGTAAAAAGTGAGTAACAACAAAAAGTACGGGAACGTAATAAGCATTTTTCCAGAAAAACGACAAACAGTGATCGCTTGACACTTTTCAGGAGTTTACCAAAAGAAAAAGTTCTGGTAAAATCTTGCAACTTCATTCTCTACCCAACTCTCCAAAAATCGCTCTCATTTACAGAATTTTGGAGGGAATTGGAGTAAGGAATCATTTTTCCTGTAACTTCCTGCAAGTTCGTGTAAAAACCTGTAAGTTCATGAAGTACTGGATCAGAGCTAAAATTTAATTTTGTCGTTATAAATTTCGATTTTCAACACAAATGAGAAAATTGATTATAATTTATTATATAGCACCAATCTAAGTGATTTTCACTGCTGTGTGTGATCGGTAGCATAATTTAATGGTTTTAGCTGCCTACATAAAAGAGGTAATACCACAAAAACTTGTATCTGAACCAGGGTTGTTGCGAATATTATTCCGAACAAAAAGTCCTTTCCGGATAATAAACAAACCGCTTATCCAAATTAAACAAGTTTGCTATCAAATGAAAGAGGACTTACAATAGCTTTAAAACTGAAATGTCTAAACGAGGAAAGCCACATATTGAAAAATATTTCAATAAGTAATGTTAATTAATTACCATCTGTGAGGTATATGAATTCCTCATAAAAGCTATAAATACAGGGTGAGCCCAATAAGACCTACAAATATTTAATTTTTTAATATTATTGTTATTTTCTTGCTGCATGTTATAGATCATCTCTTGGAAAATCATAATGGATACTTACGGCAAGACCAACAACAACGACAACAATACGCTATTCGTTTTACACAATTAACCACACAAATTGATTTCCTAGATAATGTTTTGATGTCGGATGAAGCGCATTTCCAAGCAAAACTGTAGATTGTGGGGCTCTGAAAATGCAAGGGCAACACATCGGTACCAGTTACGCCCATCCAGATGCACTGTTTGGTGTGGTGTTATGGCCGATAAAGTTATCCGCACATAATTCTTTGAGAATGAGGATGAAAAGCCAGAAACGATTTCTAGGGCTTCTTACCGAACAATTATTGACAACTTTTTGCGGCCAACAGCAGAGCAGCATCCTAATTTGTGGTGCGGCTGCGCACGCTGCTTGGCAAACTAAAGACTTATGAAGTATGGTTTATTTATTTATGATATTATTTGGCCCGCCCTGTATTTTGCCCTGCGAAGACGGCAATGAGAACTTAACTTTCAAAACAAGTGTGGTCAACACCATTTTTTTTTTAACTCAGTAGGACAACCAGGGACTTTAACCAAACTGTGTCCAAACGTGAATAGTTAGGACCATTCATGTTTTGGTAGGAGTTTACATGTTAAAAAGTTCGGTGAAGAAATTTATTACAATTATGTCTCAGGTCAACTTCTATTTAAATTAAAAAAAAAAAATGTTATAAGCGATATTCTGTTGGAATTTTTCAATGACAATACGTAATCAATTAAAGGTGGTATAATTACACTTACCGCAGTCTTCAAAGGGCAGAGTATGCAAGCTTAAAAATTTCCTGTAAATTGCTTTTGACGCAGATTGTAGACCGAGCGAACGTCCAGCCGTTAATGCGATCGATATCATCTCGTAGAGATATAATAGTATAAAGTAAAAAAACTTTAAACGCATTGTTTACTACTTTCGTTGCTTTCGTCGATGTCTATGATAATACGTTTAGCTTTGGCTTTTCACAAACTACTAATAATGCACACAAATTAGGAATGGTAGTATGTAATAAAATATTTCTTTTTAGCACAGCAGAATGTACATATAACGCTCCATACATAACTGGCGAAAGTGGGCTGATTAGCCAACAGTTTTGCACCTGCTTCGGTAGCTATTTTTAATGACAGTAATTGATTGATTGCTTTACGGTTTTGTTTTGTTTTTTTCCTTCTTATTCTTTTCTAATCAGCAATGCAGTTCATTGATTTCATTTGGCGAATAAAAAGCGACTCCAGTCAGTAGGGAAGATAATAAAATGAAATAGATAATGAAAAAAACTTACGGCTACTATTGCTTCCAAACTGGTTTCCTCTTGTTTGAAGTAACATTTGTTTAGTTATTTTTACTTATGCTATATTTTGATTACAGTGTTTATTAATAATAAATGTTGGTGTACATCATCGTTGGGTTTTGGATTCATTCCATTATGCCTTTGAGATAGTTTGTGGTCTTGATAAATCGAAAATCTGCTCGTAGTTGTATAAACTGCCGCACTACCGATTTATCCAAATAATTCTAAAAGAAAAATTAAATGTTTAGATAACCAGCTTGTTTTGAAAAATAATCAAAAAACGGTGATTTTCTACGCCACATATTAAAAAAAAAA